CTTGTTAAGCTGGTGCCTGGAGCCGGCCCTGCTGTCCAGACAGTGTTAATTTGTATTGCAGAAGGCATACTGCACTGTAGGAAGCCATCCCAGTGTCTTCCACACCATCTTCAGGAATGCTGCCTTGTGAGAAATAATACTGTATTGTGGGATACCCGCATACTTCTTAGGGAATTGTAGGAATTTAGAGTTAAATGCTCACAATTCTCTCTGTTGACATATATACTTAGGTTTAAGCATTTGAACAGTCCCATTGAAGTTATGGGATTACTCATGTACTTAACACCTAGCTTGTGCAGGATAGGAGCCTTTGTTTGTACTTTTGTATTTTTTCCTCATTGCCTTTTCTGTAATTTTTAACAAAGTTGTAGACTTTTTCTAATTAACTTTTTTGTTTTTTTTTAACTGATGCCTCCTTGGGTATTTTAAATATCCAAATAGAGATGTTGTGTCTGTATAAAATAAGTTTTGACTTCCTCATACTCTGTAGAACATGCAGACATACTATTGAACTCCACCCTCTGCTATCACTAACTTCCTTGTCCTTCCTCCCCTCCATTTCCCTTGTACACTGGAGGCTGTCTCACCAGTCCAAAGAGGAATGAATGACACACACAAGTCTATTTCAGGCCCTTATCTCAGGGCACAATTTGTTGTGTAAACTCAAAACTCAAAGAATTCCCCTGACCAACATAGACTAGCTCCCAGAGGCTTTTTCCTGAACAGCCTCCCACGCTATAGAACAATGCTCACAACTCTCCTTTCTGCTCACTATCTGCTCTTCAATCCCAGAAGGCAATTTTTTTGTTTTTGTCACATGCTGTCATTTCATTCATCTGGGGAGGTGAACTAAGCTTGTTGCAGGTGCAGCTGAGTCCCAACTCCTCTAAAAGCCAGCTCACCCTGTGATATGCCCTAACTCCATACATATAATTTGTCTAAACTAGAACCAAATACAAATCCTACACTAATTAATTCTGCAAATGGTCACACTACTAGCAAATGAGCAGAATTACGTGCAAAAGCATATTCCAAAGTCTTTTGCAGTGGAAAAGCTAAATTCTGCTGAATTTAAGCCTTTATCTGAGAAATAGAAATGTATGTTTGAGACTTCAACTATGATAATATTATAGTGGATGTGGAAATGTGTTTCTAATCAGATAAATTTGATTTAAAGCATATCCATTAAAGAAGCATCACTGCAAATAAAAAAGAGTTGGCAGTTCCTGGTTGTCATTAATTAAGAATGCAATATCAGATAAAGAAAGTCCCTCTAATTATTGTGCCAACGGTATAGTAGCAGTCAATATTATTAAAATATTACAGCTAAGCATAAGAGGGCTATGGTTAACATATGGTTAATTATGTTGTTTGTATATTAGCTATGCACAGAGTGAGTAAATTCCATAAGGAAGATGCACTTTGCATGTGTCTGTGACTGTTCCAACTGTGTATATCACAACATCCACCTCCCTTCCTCTTTCATAAGTACACGGGTACAAAATGAATAGGGCGAGCTGCAGAATATGCAGGGAATATGGCAAGCAAGTTGCTTTAAGATATAGCAGCAGGCTCCCTGTTTTATTACATGGCCTGGCATTTTGCAGAACAATTTTTTATCCTTTCTATTGCCTCACATAGCAGGAAAGAGAATTTTGAACAATGAAAAAAAATCATTAGGATTTATCCAACGTCTACATCACATAGCAGTGAGAGCAGTTTCACACTTCGTTTCTTTGATGAACTGAATATGAAAAGTAGGTATTCCCCTGCCCTTTTTATAGTATTGAGTAATGTAGTTCTCACTAAAGGAGACAGTGGCTAATATTTCATATCACTTTTCTTTCTTGAAATTATAACAATAAAAAAAGTGAGACAGAAAAGGCCTAATAACTAATCATTTGGCTGCCAGGGCAGATTGTTCTCTGGAGTCTTTTGTTCCCTAAAGTATATTTTCTATATAATAGAATTTCTGTTGAAGCTGAGAAATATTATGTAATTATAGGCTTTAATCTATTGTTATAGTTTGAGCCCTTGGGTATTGTGTTAATGCTGAGATTTTCCTGGAGCTTTTTTTTTATGATTTTAGAAACAGTCTTTTCATCTGATTTCCACAGGGGAGCTTAATGACTGAGGGCCTGTGTGACGCTCTGTACCTTGGGGAAACACCCTACACCCCCATGTTCATCTTTATAAAACGATTGTGTGGTATCCAATGCAAAGTTTGTCATGTTGGGTGTCTTCGGAAGGCTCATGATGCACTGATCATGGTTGTTATAGTGATCTTATAGTAATTGTTACAAGTAATGTTATAGTAAGGTTATAGGTTATAATTTCATGTATGTAGTTATGAGGCTGAAAATGTATCTTCATGTCTTAAAATAAGCCCAGGTAAAAACTCTCCAAGAGCTGAGAGGCAATTCACACCTCATCAGGGCATGTATGGGACAAACCCAGCCCAGCCTCACAGGAACAAAGGACGCTGGCTTAGGCAGCAACAAAAGGATCTGTGGGACTCTCAAGGGAGTCACCCCCCTTCCTTTAGTCAGTTTGGAACTGCGATGAGGTAATGCTCACCGGACTCTGAAGGGGGGGGGGAAGCCAAGAGGGAAGAAAGGACATGATAAAGGGGAGAGACATTTGCCATGCTCTTCCTCTCTCTTCCACCTACATCTACAGACACCATACCAAGTGACTGAAGCGCTGATCAAAGGGAAGAGCCTGGCTGAAGAGCAACCAGCCAGCCTGTGGTGAGAAGTATCTAAGTTTGTAAGGGCATTGAAAATGTTAAGATCAGCTTAGAATGCATTTTGCTTTTATTTCATTTGACTAAGTCGGACTTGTTATGCTTTGACTTATAATCACTTAAAATTTATCTTTGTAGTTAATAAATCTGTTTGTTTCTTCTACCTGAAGCAGTGCATTTGGTTTGAAGCATGTCAGAGACTCCCCTTGGGATAACAAGCCTGGTACATATCAATTTCTTTGTTAAATTGATGAACTCATATAAGCTTGCCGCGTCCAGCGGGCATAACTGGACACTGCAAGATGGAAGTTCCTAGGGTTGTGTCTAGGACCGGAGATATTGGCTAGTGTCATTCGGTTGCACAATCCAAGGAGCAGCTTACATGCCAGAGGCCGTGCGTGAACAGCCCAGGAGTGGGGGTTCTCACAGCAGAGCAGGGTAAGGCTGGCTCCCAGAGTCAAGGATTGGAGTGACCTAGCAGATCACTAGTCCAGATAACACCAGAGGGGAATGATACTGTGTGATTCCTATTTGGTATTGGGGGAAAAAATCTGTGTTTAATGTCAAACCAAAGGGAACTTACTTGTCAAATTGAAAGAGAGCATTGGACAAGTCCGAATTTCTGCAGCAAGGAAGTTGGTAGCAGTGCCGTATGACCATAGCAAGAAAAAAAAAGAACCACAGAGACCTGAATTGCTTGTGCCTCAACCTAGCCATCATAAAGGATAAGTCGTTGGCCAAACGCCCACCATGTGAGGACACTTTTGAAGATTATATCAAAACATCTTGGCAAACAGATTTGGATGTCTTCACACGTCGGTAAACAAGATATCGGATCACCATTGCAACATGGATGGGAAAATGTGGATGATGAATTACTTCCTGTATTCTTCTAGAGCCCAATGGCTTCGGAGCTTCTACAAGACGTTATTTGTGCCTGTACCAGTAGGGGCTTGCTGCACAATCAACTATGTCTATAGTCTTCCCTGCACAGAACTATGTACATGCCAAGTTCAAGGCAATGAAGATTGTGGTAACCCATGCACTCTCAACAGAGATCATGATGATGATAATGATGTTAACTAAAAATGTCACCTGTCTTATTACTTTTCAATGATTCCTGTACAAATGTATTATTTGCTTGTTTTAGCCTTTAGATGGTTGTTGTAATGCTTTGACCTCACAAAGAAACCCAATTTTATGCCTTGAAATAATATATATCATCACCAACGTAAAATAAATGACTGCAAATATTTCAGAGTGGTCATTTTAACCTGTTGAGAATGTCACACTTTACCCCCGTTTTTTCAGCAACTACTTGACAGCTCGTCATCAGGCCTCATGTGAAAGTAAGCAGAATAAGCTTCCAACGGTGTGTGTAGGCGGGAGGGTACAGTACGGCCACCAAAGGGGTGGTGTCACATGCCGCTGGCCCAGTAGCCCACTCTCAGCCCCCGTCCTTCTCCAGCCTGTGAAGACGAGAGAGAGAGGGAGCAGGATGGAAGGAAGGAGAAGAGGAAGGCGAGGGAAGGTTCAAGCAGCAGCTGCAAGGGGAGAAGGACTCAGAGCAGGAGGGAGGCGGCTGGCCTTGGTGCCCTGCACCGCCCCCTCCCCGCTCCACCCCCGGCGGGGCGGGCCGGGCCGGCTGCGGCGCTGCGGAAGCGGAGGAGGAAGGCACAGGCAAGGGGTGTGGAGCGCCCCTGGCCGGTTCGGGGCTTATTCCGCGTCGGCCCCTGCGCGGGGGAGGCGGGGCGCGCAGAGGAGCCCGGCCCGCTGTAAACATCCTCCTGAGAGGCCGCCGCGGGGCTCCATGGAGACGCAGGGGAAGCCCCCGCCGCCCAGCAGCCAGCGCGGGCCGGTGCTGCACATCGTGGTGGTCGGGTTCCACCACAAGAAGGGCTGCCAGGTGAGGGGAGAGGCCCGGGCTCCCCTGCCCCCTCCCTCCGGCCTGCATTGCTTCCTCCTCCGCCCCCTTCCCCACAGCCTCCCTCCGTCGCCTTTCACCCTTTCCTCTCCCCCCCGCCTCGGCTTTCCCCTCTGTTCACCCCCTTCCGACAACATCTGCTTATCCCCCCGCCCCGCTGTCTTCAGTTCTTTATCTGCTCCCCTCCTCCCTCCATCCTTCTGCCCTTCCCTACGCACATCTTCCCTTCCCTTCACCCCCCACATCTAGCCCCGTCCACTTCTGGGCCCCTCTTCCTGTCTCTGTGCGTGTGTCTTTCAGCACCAGGATGAAAGATAAAAGTGTGCCTGCATTATTATTATTTTTTTTTTTTGGTAGGGGTCATTTGCTGTGTGTCTCACACTGCGTGGGGGAGACCATATAAATTGAGATTTGGAAGTTTCACTCATTTATTGAAAATCTTGGTTGACAAATACAGCAAAATCCTTTCATCACCAAAGAGACTTTTAATACTGTCCCTAGAACTAATTTGGGTGCCTGATTTGTCACTCTTCCTTCCTTGAGTAGTACTTACTTTGGTGAGCAGTCCCATAGAGTTTAGTGTGAGTACTTCTGTGAGTCTGGTACTCCCCAGCATGAATAAGGGTAATAAAATTGGGGCCCCAAAGGATGCATGGGATTTAACAGGTCTGTTAGCTCTGTGCATTTATTATTTGTTATTTTTCAGTTCCATGTACCATACTGGTTTCTTTCTCTTTCTCTCATGCACCCTCCTCTCCCCTCCCCCACGCCCAATCTTCAACTGTAGAAACTGGTTATGAAGATACATATGACATCTAGGTCCTAAGGTTCTGGGTTTTCTTGTTGGCCGCTCAGTGCTTTTTTGTCAGTGTGTATGCTTGAATATTTAAGAAAAAAAAAAAAAGATATTCCAGTAGAAACCAATACAAAACTTGTGGGTGAGGCTGCATTTGCTCCGACTGGCCTCTGAGAAGAATTAGTCCTTAGAGAAGCAATGACTCAGTTTGCTTAGTTGGTAAATGTTGGCTATACCAAAGTTAATATTTATTCAGATGGATAAATGATTTTCTCTAATTTCAGACTTAAGGATTTCATTCTGAGGATAAAGTGATCTTAAAGAGAGTTGGCAGAATAGGATTTGACTATGCAGACAAAAATATTTTAAACTAAAATAGCTGTTTACTATAATAGATACTGATCAGGAATGGGCTATAGGGAATGGGAATGTCCCAAAAGGTAAAGAAAGAGATTTAAAAAAAGGTATTGGAACAGATGAGCATTTATAAATACAGGACAGCTTAAAAAAATAAGAGTTGGATAAATTCTAGCTTACTCCACCTTCTGCCTCTGATAGCCCAATATGTCGCTGCAACATCACAGGCATAACAAAAGGATAAATAGTTCAGTGGCTTCAGAATATTAAGCTTGTATTAAATGTTAAGTATGTATATCCTTCTCCTCCACTATATTATGATTTTTTTTTTTTTACAGTTGTTTAATGTGGAATGTAAGGGGAAAGAGCATCATACTTTATACTCCTTGAATTCTCGTACTTCTCCCTGTACCTTTTTCAGAGCAATGATGCAGTGCAGGATTTTGGTCCAAACCTGTGTGGTTTTTTGGCCTGTTCATACAGTTCCTGTGCCACAAAGCAATGACTGTTCATCTTTTGCACCTTATTGTTCCATTGTTTAACTAAAAGAGCTTTTTTATCATGGTATTTAAATTTCTAAGGTGTGTATGATCGCTGGAGTCTGGAATGTCTCTTGTAGATTCTTTTGGGTATCAAAAGGGAGAATCCTAAATGGAGTGTTCAGAGTTGCTTCTCCTGTCCTCTCCCTGTCAAGACAGCCAGTGCTATGTCCAGATTTGCAATCCAGCAATTGGCAGACATTACTACATTGCATAACAGTGTTAAATGGCCTAATGCTGAATTACCGTTGCCCTTTAATGTACATTTGTTTATTGATTTTTAAAGTGAAGTTAGGTTGGTGAGATTAGTTTAGATATATCTCATCTCAACTCTTGAAATCCTGGACAACCTCTCTCATCTCTACTCCCAATAAAAGACTCTTAAATAGTACTGTCTTTTGTTTGTTACCTAAACAGTCATCAAATTAGGCTGCATATCTTTATCTTCAGTGAGAGCCATAGTTAGACTATTTCTACTGAGTAAAGGTTTCCAAAGCTCAGTCAGTAGTTATAGTAAGCATTTTTTCAGTTATATTGTGAACTCTTGTTATGTCAGTGAAAGTTATTAATGATTTTTCTTAACACAAACAGTTCTAAGTATCATTCTTTTTGTCCTTTTTTTTTTTTTTTTTCTTTTTTCCCCTCCTTCTCATTTTCTCACATGTTCACACTCTTTACAGGTTGCACTTTACCCTCAAGGTGATAACTGTTCTGTAGGCAATTTATTTTTTACAGCATATTTGGGTGGGAAATGAATTTTGTATTTCTGAAGTGTTGCAGCTTGACACATAGAGTATTCCCTCATCCATTTATCTACAGGACTGATTCAGCATGGACAATGGCATTGCAAGGTTCCCTACTCCATCAGTTTATGTCCATGCTGTCTTGGAAGGATCATTTCTAAAAATGAGAGTACTGGATAGTTCAGTCTCTGTGCCTATACTGTCTTTGGCCTCTGCTGAGACTGTCAACAAGGATACCAATTGTGATGGTGTGTTCTATGATGTGGACTATTATTATCTGAGGATTGGTCTGAAGCCACCAGCTCATTTCATTAAGGCACCAAAGACACACTGTTAATATTTTGGGATATGTTCTGACACCACACAGTATGGTAGGTAGAAAACAAAACAAAAAAAGAAGAACCCATAGAACTTCTCCTCTGATCTTACTAACAATGGCTGAAGCTTAAAAGCATTCATCTAGCACAAGCATTACTAATCAATAGATGTTTTGGATGACCCAAATATATTTTAATCAAATCAAATATTTTGAACATTTTTGATTACTATAGGCCTGATTTAATGGGGCTATTCACATGAGTAAATTTACTCTCAGGTATGTGTTTCCAGGATCAGTTGCTATAACAATAATTAGATTCTTTTTGGGCTTGCAATATTTATCAGACACCGGCTAGACAGTAGCTGTTATGGAAGATGGACACTGATTGGGTGTTAGCAGAAAAGCCAGCACATATTGCCCCCAGCTGCTTAGAGGGAATGGAGCTTGGAGTCACATGTACTTTTGTCTTCTGTCTTCTGTTTCCCTTTCACTCTGCTAATGGAACCCTGCTCACTGGAGAAACTTTTCAAGTACTGTGATCTGTGAGGTTCTTTTATATTTTTTTCAGAAAATTCATATGAAATTGAATCTCTTTGCAAATCATCTTGGCATTATATTGAAACACATTGGCACCTCTTCAGTCTAAAGTAATCTCTTTTTGGTAGAAATTAAAATCTGTAATGCAAAACTGCTGCTTGTGGAGATGTACACTTTATATATATAATATAAACACTTGACATATATATTGTGGATTCTTTGTGTATGATTATTAATAGATAGCAAAAGTAATGGGACCTTTATGTGCTCTGAGGGTGCTCTGGGGGTAGACATTTTAATTAGATTTGAATTGCTCTGTATAGATATCTTTTGGTTACCTGAAGTGTCTGTCTACTCCTGTTGCCCTTGTTCAGGAAAAGGAAGGTAAATATAGGAAAAGTTAAGCTATATATAATAGAAGTTTAATTTATGTTAAAGATAATGCTGTAAATATTTTTTTCTGGGTGTATTTTATTTTTTTCTAAAATTTTGTATGGAACCACGACTTGTTGTACGTAAAAATGATTTATTTGGTGATCGTATAACAAACTTCAGAGCATCAGCCTATTTAAGATGATTTTATAGTGTGAGGTTAATTTGTAATTTTTGCAATGCTCTTGTCTAAGCTGATTCATCTTGTGTTTTCTTCTGGGTAAAGCAGGCTTATATAACATGAGACAAATATTTACAACACATGAAATAGAGTGTTTGCTGAAGAACTAGAGAAAGCTGACAGTTACATTTTCTGGGTAATTGTGCAAATTTCAGAATTGCCACTGACCATTGAGATGGACTTGCAGTGTGTAGAAGCAGCATGAAATCAAGAATCCTGATTTCAAGAACAGATCATGGGGATCTCTCAGGCTAGTAGAGTTTAAGCCTGTTGAGGAGCCGTATGTTCAGTTTCTCTGTAGCAGGAGGCATCCAAGTATACTGCTGGTTTAGCATCCATTATTGACATTGATGAAATATTCAGAAAGAGCTGCTTACCATACCTCTTCACCACAAAGAAGATGTCGGTATGATAATGACTTCTTAGAATGGGAAGAAGACGCTATCTTGGAGACTAGATCCCTCTGGTATTTGATATGTTCTGCAGCAATACATTAAGAAAGGTGATAATCTATTTGAATACTGTACTATGATAGATTTCTATGCAGCACTTACAGGGTGAGTCTACACAGCGAGCAGCATTGAGTCTCAGGGCCCGGATCATCAACAAACTCAGGCTTGCATGGCTTAGGCTACAGCTGTGTAGCGTACACCCCTCCCTTTGCTTCAGAGCCCAAGCTCCAGCCTGAGCCCAAAGGGCTACACAGCTATTTTTAGTGCCTTAGTGCAAGCCTGAGTCTGTCAACCCAGGCTCTGAGACTTGCTGCCACTTGCTGTGTAGATGCATTTGTTGTGATAAATTATATGGAATGTCACTTTCCGGATAAAAAATAAAATAGCAAATATCATCCATCAAGTTATGAAACTTGCCGAAAGTCCCCGGTGGCATTAATTTCATCAAAATAGGTTTTTTTACTATGAATAAAATTACTTAGAATATTTAATAACATCTAATGGGTTGTTTTAAAAATATTTAAAACCATTATCTTTAGTGCCTGTCTGGTCAGCCACAGAGCAGTAAGGCAGGAGAATGGATAGGAGGGAGCAGCCGCTTCCTCTTCAGCTGTGTTTCTGCCTCA